GCCCCCCCCCCCCCCCCCCCCCCCCCAGGGGAATCTCCTTGTAGTGGAACTTAAATGAGCCTTCTCTTGACATATTAGGTAGGAGTGATGAAATATGGGTGTAGTATACATGACCATTTCAGTTCCCCATTTTTCCCCCCCCCCCCCCCTCTCCAAGCTCCTGAGTAAGCAAAGAGCTAGGTTATCCATTTAAATAGCCTTTACCCCGCCCCCCAAGCCAATTAGTTACCTTCCACACTGTAGATTCTGCCTGGGCTTTGGGAAGGAAGGGGGATTTTTTTTTTTTTTTTTAAGCCACCAATTTTCTGGCTAGTGGGCTGAGGTTTCACAAACCACAGATGAGAGTTGTTATAACTCTGATTTTTTTATTTAAAATCTGCCTAGTGACATTATAGAAGACGCTGAAAGTGAAATTGTGTAGAGTGGAATCAGCATCTTAGTTTATCTTGCTTGCTCATCATCAGAAAGCAGTTCGGAGGCATGCCAGCTGTGATTCATGACACAGCGCCGATGATTTAATTTCTTGGAGGGCTTTGAGCATAGGATGAAATCACAACAGTGCGCAGGAAAAGCCTGTGTTCCTCACACCCTCTTAAACCGATTAATAGCACTCAGAGGTGGCTAAAATGGAACCGTATGCAGTGTGTTTGGATCTTACTCAGGCTTTGGTACCTGAACCAAAGCTAACACCTTGCTGTGCACGAAGCTGATGTTAGGGTAAATCTGGAGAAGTTGGAGGTAGTGTTTTCATTACTGAGACATTTCTGGCATTAGCAGAGCAATAGGGGTCTGGGATAGTGCTGGTCAGTTTTGTGGTTTCTGATATTTCGGTCTTTCAGGAATATTAGTGAAATGGGTTTGACTACCATAGTATAATGGGGTCTGCTGGGGTTATGAATAACTGTAATAATTTGAAACCTTTGTATTTAGAGTGAAAGTTAAACTATTTGTTTTCTGGTATTTATGAGGGATATTTGGAAACGGATGATTACTTAGAAATCTAGCCATCCCTGCTTTATTTATCTTAATTGAGATAAAGGACCTGCTGTCCAGAAGTTCACACTAAGCCCTGAAGAGGAACATGGCTCATGTGTCTTTCTCAAACACTCTAACCCCAGTCCAGCAGTAAACAAGCACAACCCAGTAGATTACCGTCTGTTAGATAGTATTGATACAGCCTATAAACAAATGAAGTTAAAATGTCCCCTGAACTCATTATGATCTCCACAGTGAATGGGTCTCATTTCAACCTTGGTTCCTTACCCAGATAGACATTTCTATAAAAATATTAAGTGGGAGGATGGCCTATGCTCAGATCATACAATTGTGTGGAGGGATCTGGCCCCTCTGGTTTCTACCTCTTGCAGCACTTGTCCTGGCTCTCCCCTTGGTAGCCGAAATGTTTTTTCGTTTGCAGTGGGTTCCGGTGCCAGACTTCTGTGCTTATTTTCTGTGCGTGGAGTTCTGAAACTTGAGTGGCTGGGCGTGCATGCTAACTCCTAATCTGTAACCTCTTCTGCCTTGGTTGACCCCCAACCCAACACCTACTTTTTTAAATAAAGCATTTATTTATTTGTGTTTTGCATGCATGTCTGTAAGTGTGGGGATGTAGGTGTCATGCATAGGGAGGTAAGGGGCCAATTTGCAGGAGCTGGTTTTCCTTCCACCACATAGGCCCTGGTGCTTGTACTCCAGTCATCATGCTTGGTAGAAATCTCTTGACTTGCAGTGCCATCTCACAGGCCTTCCTCATTAAGCCCATAAGGGCATAGACTTTGTTGGGGTCACTACTGTACTTCTGTCACATAGAGATCACTTGGTATGTCTAGATACTCATCTGTTTGTTGGATGAGTGGGTGAAGAGGTGGATGAAGATGCTGGCACCAGGGAACACTCATTTCCCAAGTGTTTGTTAAATATTTAACATCTTGTGAAATTCTTCATTAGAATTTGTATAAAAATAAAATGTTATATGAAGAGACTTGTAAGTATAGATGATAAAGTATCTTGGATCTTTCATGTCAGCTAATTTTGGTGTTCATTTTAGGTTGTCTATATAGAACTAGTTGATACTGATACTTGAGGCAATTTCTAGGTTCTGTCAAGAAGATTCTTAACCTCAGTGCAATTATAATCCCCTTGTGACCTAAGCAAGTATTAATGTATTACACCTTTAAATAGTCGTGGCTGAGCCTGATCTGCTCTCGCCTTTGTGTGGTACTTCTCATGCCTTGGACATGGAGGGGGAAAACTATGGAATTTTCGTTAGGCATGGTTTAGAAAACTGTGACACAGTGAGTGATGTATGACTGAGGAAAGAAATTGACCATCAGACTTGGTAGTTATTCTCTGCAGTTCATTCTTCTAAAAATTTCTCTGTGTTGTTGAGAAGAAAGTAAGGCTAAAAAAGAAACCAGAAATACATGACTTTAAAAAATCAGGATTTAAAAGAACATGCTTCTATTTTCTCATTAACCTATGGAATATTGCCTTTAGAGAGTGCTGAGAAGAAAGACAAAATTTGGGATCTGTCGGGCCCCTTTGTTTCTCTAGCACGTGCAGAAGTCCTGATCTCCCCATCTGTGCCGGTCGTTGCTAGAAATAGATATTTGAGGGGCTAGCAAAGAATTAATTTGGGAGCTGGTTGTAGTTGAATCAGCCATATCATATTCACTCTGATGGCCCATTAGGTAGGAGACATGTGGAGCTGGAGGCAAAGGGAGCTGAAAAAATAATGAGTGGCATTAAAATTCCCCATGAGAAGCACAGATGCAGGGTTCTCCATGCCTTTTTACAAACATCTTTTACACATAGAATTCTGAAAAGCATAATTTTTAAGGTCTGAAAAATTTTAATCATGTGCATATATATATATATATATATATATATATAATTTTGAAAAATGTTGAATATATGTAAAATAAAAAGCATGATAAAAGATACCAGTCACTTAGTTTCACAATTCTGCCATTATTTCTTCACTCACACATTCAACCATTTTTAATTCATGACTTTTTTTTTGGTACAGTTCTTTTTTGTGGTGTTATGTACACATATGTAAACGTACATGCTACTACATTATTTTGATAGGTAGGTGTTTACATCTAAGCAGTACCTCTATGGACATGCAATGTTTATATCATGGTAGGAAGTTCTCCTTCACCCCCCTTCCCACATTTTCCCTGCCTTTCACCCAGAGTTCTGTGCTGTTTACATTCCAGCCTAGTTATACATCTTCTAGACCCTCACATGTGGATTCCCATATCATTTGACCTTTTGTGTTGTTTTTATTAACTTCCTAGCACATTAGTAGTTTACTTCTCTTTACTGATGAGTAGTGTTCCACTTTTCGAACACTACTTTAGTGTTTTGTTTATTGCTTCTGTTGTTATGATTATTTAGATTTTCTTTGGTGATGGAGTCTTTGTGTGAACATGCTTTTTATGTATCCTGAATAAATGCCTAGGAGTGGAATTCCTGGGTCAGGTGGTATACTTAATATCTGAGTATTATCCAATGTTCTATGTAGGTGGGACCAATATCCCTTAATCTAATGATTACAGAATTACAGAATTACTTATGCTTTCTCGTGACTTGAAATGTTTTGTATGAAAAAGGCACAGTGCCTATCTCCAGGACTCAGGGATGATGTTCTGATACACACAATGAGACAGTTACAATAAAGTAAAGCACAGTAACATGTCCATCTTCATCTTGTAGTTACCAAAATGTATTCTTAGCAAATTTCCGATATACAATTCAACATTGTAACTCTCTTCCTCATTTCCTACATTTGATTTACTTACTCAGTCTATATATTTGCAACTTTGTGCCCTTGTCCTGTGCCTTTCTTTTGTCCCGGTAGTCATTAATTTCCTTCCCATTTAAATCTCCCATCTGTGAAATGTGTTTGTTTACTTTTTGTGATCAAGGAATTTGAAAAATCAGTAGGAAAAGTAAGTTAGAAATTATTCCGTTTGGAAGTCCTCATGCTTTAGAGGCCATATTCCCAGATGGGTAATTATGATTTCTTTCCAGGATTTTAATAACCAAAGGGAACATTTAGTGCATGCTGATTACAGGTTGAAAAAACACATGTCATTGTGTTGCATTTGAGTCCAGTTGGTTTTGTGGTGGTTTTCACAATGTTCTTAATGTGACTCAGACTCAGTAGAAACTGTACCAAATATGTTTCTGAA